CACATGCCCTGAATGTATATGCACTTGGTTTTACCACCAAAACCAATATGCAACTTCAAAGATATAAACACTTATGCTTCTATATCTGGTGAACAAATGAGATTTGCCTCCATATTGGCTGTATTCCATCTAACTTGATTGCACATGTGGAGAAGAGGTATTTTTTGACAGATACCTGGTCTGACCTACATATTTCCATGCATATCTCCTTAAATTATTTTTGGAAACCACATCAAGATGAATATTAACTTTCAAGGTGCGAACTGGCACAAGTTCATTGATAAAAGCAACAACAAACTGACTTCCTAAGCCTTGATATATCAAGGACAGGCTGTTCTTTCACATCTTATTCCAAGAAATGCATGTACAGTATGCACAGCTATCAATATATACCAGGATTTCTTGCCAAAAAGGTGTTGCATTACTCAGACTTTATGAATTGTGAATTTTCCAGGCTGTATGGCTATGTTTCAGAAGCATTCTCTCCTGACATTTCGCCTGCATTTATGGCAGGCATCCTCAGAGATTGTGAGGTCTACTGGAAACTAGGCAAGTGGGGTTTATATATATATATCTGTGGAATGTCCAGGATGGGAGAAAGAACTCTTGTCTTTTTGATGTAGGTGTAAATGTTGCAATTGGCCACCTTGATTAGCATTTAATGGCCTAGCAGTTTCAAGGTCTGGCTTCTTACTGACTGGGGGAATTCTTTGTTGGGAAGTGATTAGCTGGCCCTGATTTTTCTTGTTTGGTATTTCCCTGTCTTTTGAGTGTTGCTCATTATTTACTGTCCTGATTTTAGAGTTTTTAAAATACTGGTAGCCACATTAATGTAATTTTATTGGTATCTATTTTTATTTTGAAATTTACCAATAGCTACTGCATTTCACACCCTCAGCTTATACTCGAGTTAATCTGTTTTCCCAGTATTTGGTGCAAAAATTAGGTGCCTTGGCTTATATTCGGGTTGGCTTATGCTTTGAGTGTATATGGTATTATGCAATGCTTTTGACACGAAATAAATAAAATATAAGAGCCAATTATAATGTTTGTTTTAAAAAAACTTGAGAGATGAGTGATTGCCACAGCCCCCCCCCCCCCCCGTGTTTCCTATTCTGGAAGAAGATTGTATCAAAATGCCCCAGGGATTTACACACGTGGCAAAGGATGAATCGCATTTCTATGGAAAGATGGCAGCTGTTTCTGCTTCTTATGGCAACCTACTTTTTTGTTTACATATGCAGGTGTAAAACTAACCAGGAAAATGAGCCAACAAGACAAAGCTGGAGGAATGGCTGTTTGCCACTGTTTGGCTTTATATATGTTTTAATCCACATTGCTCTAGGTCTCAATTTCTATCATTCTTGTTCCCACACTCATATATATTGTGGAAGAAGAGAAGTCCAAAATACTCAGTTAAAAACTACCAACAAAGCTATCTTCGACAGAGGTCTGCTCCCCATTTTCTCTGATATTTCAGTGGGAACCAACTTCTCACAAAAGTAAAACTCAAATTGGGTTGTTGTAGGTTTTTTTGGGCTATATGGCCATGTTCTAGAGGCATTCTCTCATAGGGGAGAATGCCTCTAGAACACGGCCATATAGCCCGAAAAAACCTATAACAACCCAGTGATTCCGGCCATGAAAGCCTTCAACAATACATTAAAACTCAATTTTTTTGGAGATTTTTTTTAAAAAAATATTTACACTGCAATAGCTTGCAAACATAATGTATAAGTATTATATTATGAAAAATATTATATTTTTAAAATATATTAGGGAAAACATGATGGAATCATGTATATGCACAGGTCACTTTGCATAAGTCAAAGCCAACTTATTAGAAATTAACAACTACCTTTTAATTGTAGGTCTAGTTGGCTGTAATAATTGTAGGTCTAGTTGGCTGTAATAAAATCCCGCTCAGAAGTCATCACTCTCACTCTCTGTATCCCATGGCACCCCCAAACATTTTTTCTTAAAAGTTCTAGGTGATTGGGGTATTTTTGCCACAATTTTTGCTCCATGAGTCCCATTGCAAAACTGGATGTAGCCACCCTTCACATTCACTGGGGTTAGAGCAGGCAAGGGCAAACTTGGGCCCTCCAGGTGTTTTGGACTCCAACTCCCACAATTCCTAGCAACCTCAGGCCCTTTCCTTTCCCCCTCAGCTGCTTAACACCTGGAGGGCCCCAGTTCGCCCATACCTGGACTAGAGATTCATAGAATAGCATTTTAATCAAATCTCTGAATAATCAAATTCTCCAAAGTCAAAAACACAAATGTGAAGGGACAACTGTAACTAGGTATTCATTTTTTTTGGTATTGGGAAATACATGTGAAAAGGAAAAGAGCATACTATTAATACACACATGTGAAACAAAACAACTGTGTCAAATAAGTCTTGCAGAAGGAGACAAACATTTTGAAACTTCTACAAACCACTTAAAGGCAGAAATAAGGGCTTGAATCCTATTCATTAGTCCCAGGTGAAGTAGATGTATTTAATCATTGAGCCAGTGGGTAAGTGGATCGTTTGAATCCAATGTGCTTACTTGAAACTAACAATGGGATTCAGGTTAAAGATTTTAGGATCGGTTTTTCACATCATACATTCAGTAGAGTCTCGCATATCCAACATAAACGGGTCAGCAGAATGTTGGATAAGAAAAACGTTGCATAATAAGGAGGGATTAAGGAAGAGCCTATTAAACATCAAATTACATTATGATTTTACAAATTAAGCACCAAAATATGTTTTATAATAAATCAACAGAAAAAGCAGTTCAATACACGATAATGTTATGTAGTAATTACTGTATTTGGGAGCCCCCGGTGGCGCAGTGGGTTAAACCCCTGTGCCGGCAGGACTGAAGACCGACAGGTCGCAGGTTCAAATCCGGGGAGAGGCGGATGAGCTCCCTCTATCAGCTCCAGCTCCTCATGCAGGGACATGAGAGAAGCCTCCCACAAGGATGATAAAAACATCAAAATCATCGGGTGTCCCCTGGGCAACGTCCTTGCAGACGGCCAATTCTCTCATACCAAAAGCGACTTGCAGTTTCTCAAGTCGCTCCTGACACAACAAAAAACAAAAACAAAAACATTACTGTATTTATGAATTTGGCACTAAAACATCACAATTTATTGAAACTGTTGTGGATTCAGGCAGGAGGAAGACTTGAGTTAATTTAATTGTGGTTTTATTATTGTAATTGTTATGGATTGGCATCGCGTCGGTGTCCAATGTAAGGCATTGCATTTTTGCCAGTTATGTGTAAACCGCTTTGAATCCCCCTAGGGGTGAGAAAAGCAGTATATAAATACTGTAAATAAAAATAAAATAATAAATTGAGTTGGATAATACAGAATGTAGGATGAGCGAAGGTTGGTTAAGCGAGACTCTACTGTACCTGTTCCCCTGATTAAAAGGAATGGGACTGGTAAGTGATTCACTTTGGTTGGATCATGCCCTGAGATTTCTCTCTCACAGCATCACTTCACATTATGTTTTTGTTGTTATGCACCTTCATGTTGCTTCTGACTCATGGTGCCTGAAGGCAAATCAGTCTTGGAGTTTTCTAGCAAGATTTGTTCAGAGGAGGTTTACCATTGCCTTGCTCTATGGCTGAGAGAGAGAATAATCACTTTATGGCTGAATGGGCATTCAAATCGTGGTCTCTTGGGTCCTAGATTAACATTAAAGCTACTATGCCACACTGGCTCTACCTATGTCTACGTATGTCAAACCAGCAGCAGAATAGGATCTCTTGAAATAGCGTGAATATATTTTTATTTATATGCCTTATCTCAGAGAGAGATCATATATGTTTAACTTTTGTTGTGGCCAGAAAATAGACTTTAAGAGCAGATGACATGTTGAGAAAGGTGTAAACTTGTTTTCTGACTACTCTATAGAGACTAGGATATAGAGCAGTAGTTCTCAACCTGTGGCCCGTCGAACACCAGTGGTCTGCAAGGATGCAAATGTGGTCTGCGGCCTCACCATTAATACAACGTTGCCTTGAAACCACGCGGCAACAAGAATGACTGGTCTTGCAAAACACTCTTATAGTGAAGAGGCAATGGGGATCTTAGGAGGGGAGAGGCTGACTACCCATGAAAGGTTACTACTACCTCATCAGCTCTAGATTATTAAATATGTTTTTCTGTGAGCAAGTAGATGGCGACTACTGGGTGGCATATGTTCTGTATCAGAAACTAGAGCTAATGTGGTCTATCCAATGCCATTTTATGAATTAGCAACTCAAATAACCAAACCATATGGTAAAGTTGGCCTAAAACCCATTTGTAACCCTTTTGGTACTAATGTTGGAGAGTGGACTCTGGCCAAAGTAGTCCCTGGTCAAAAAAAAAAAAGAGGTTGGGAACCACTGATATAGAGGAATAGATTCAAACTATGGAAATAGATTTCACCTAAACATTAGGAAGAACTTGGTGATCGATAGTGGAGTATGATACCTCGGAGTGAGATGAAGTCTCCTTCTCTAGTGAACTTTACTCAGAGAATGGCTGACCATCTGATGGAAGCGTTTTGCATGACAGGAGTTTTGCATTGGATGGCCCTTTTGGTCTCTTCCAACTCTGATTCTAAGAGAAATCTGTCTTCATGTATGTCGCCATATGGGGCTGGCCAGTTTGGAGACAGGTGTATGGAATTGCAACAGCATGGGTGGAACTACAAGAGTGATTAGTACTAAATTACATTATGCTTTCCTTCTCTTCCTTTCTGAAGCTCAATAGGGCATCTAAGGCAGATCTTGGAGAAGTTAAATTTTTGGAATATAACTGCTAGAATAACATAAACAAACAAAATGTTGCCTGGGGAGTCTGCCAAAAAAGTCACTTCTCCAAGATGTGAAGATGGGTCAGAGCAAATATACAAAGACTATAGGGCAAACTTCGGCCTTCCAGATGTTTTGGACTGGAACTCCCACCATTCCTAACAGCCTCAGGCCCCTTCCTTTCCCCCCTCATCCGCTTAAGTGGCTGAGGGGGAAAAGGAAAGGGCCTGAGGCTGTTAGGAATGGTGGGAGTTGAAGTCCAAAACACCTGGAAGGCCAAAGTTTGACAAGGCCTGCTATGGAGCCATCATCCTAGCAGAGTCAGGTAGAAGTGATTTCTATTAACGCAGGCAAATAGTGCCCAGAGAGCCATGCCTGATGCCAGTCCCAGAGATTGTGGCACAGCTCACTGGATCCAATGGTTAGACAAAACAAATATTTCCTGATGAACAGGAGCAGTCTGTAAGTCATGTGTTTCCTCCCTTGTATAAACCAGCTGCTTTTAAAACTCGTAAGCGGAGACAAAGAGGGTGATCTTTGAAACGTGCTTCGCTTGGAAGGAGCGGCCCAGGTATTCGGACATGTCCACTTCCACTTGTGTGGCCTGAGGTCCCTGCAGGCTTTGCGTCAGGATGAGTTCTCCCGTCTGCCTGTCCGAGCGCTGCATCACAAAATGCCCGCGGCTGTTTCCGCCCACAATCCCAAACCGTAGGCTGTCGGGGCCAGGCCGCCCGGGGGCAGAAGCGGTAGCCATGCGGAAGAGTGGGGTCGGAGTGACGAGGTTGGAGGGCAGAGGAAGGTAATGGAACGAGATGGTCTTCGGCGCATAATGGCACGACCTGCTGTCCATCGGGCATGGATTCCGCTCACATTGACTAGGAAAGAAAGGGGGAAACAAGAGATTTCAGTGGATTTACTGTATCTTTCTTTTCTTTTCTTTCCTTTCTTTTTTTTAATATAAAAAAAACAGTTGTTTGGTTGTTTGATTGATTGTACAAGGATGGGGAATGTCTGGGCCTCCATATGGAACTTGACTAGAACTTAGATATAGCATAAGCAATATGATTACATCCTGAATAGACTACTGCAACGCGCTCAACATGGGGTTGCCTTTGAAGACTGTTTGGAAACTTCAGCTAGTCCAATGAGCAGCAGCCAGGTTACTAACTGGAGCAACATACTGGGAGTACACCACCCCCCTGTTGTGCCAGCTCCACTGTCTGCCAGTCCACTTACGAGCACAATTCAAAGTGCTGATCTTGACCTATAAAGCCCTATATGGTTCTGGCCCAGCTTACCTGTCCGAATGTATCTCCTTCTATGTCCCACCTCACAGTTTAAGATTGTCCAGGGAGGCCCTGCTCTCGGTCCTGCCAGCCTCGCAAGTGCACTTGGCAGGGACGAGAGACAGGACCTTCTCAGCGGTGGCCTCACGCCTGTAGAACTCGCTCCCCAGCGAGATCAGATTGGCTTTTTCCCTCCTTTCTTTTAGAAAGAAGATTAAATCATTGCTCTGGGACCAGGTCTTTGGACAGCAAGCATGACAGCACCTTGGATGTTGAATGGGACTGCAATTGGCTATATGGTTGATGACAATGTTTTTAACGTGTATTTTAACTTAATGTTTTATTTACTGTTTTAAACTGTTGCTATTTGTGTTTATATTGTATTATATTGAGGCTTCAAATTGTGGTCGGTTTGTAAGTTGCCCTGAGTGCATTTCAGGTTGAACATATGAAGGAACTTGGTTGCTGTGGGTTTTCCGGGCTGTATGGCCACTTTCCAGAAGCATTCTCTCCTGACGTTTTGCCCACATCTATAGCAGGTATCCTCAGAGGTTGTGAGATCTATTGGAAACTAGACAAGTGAGGTTTACATATCTGTGGAATGACCAGGGTGGGAGAAAGAGCTCTTGTCTGTTTGAGGCAACTGTGAATGTTGCAATTAGTCACCTTATTAGCATTGAATGGCCTTGCAGCTTCAAAGCCTGGCTGCTTCTTGCCTGGGGGAATCCTTTGTTGGGAGATGTTAGCTTCGTCCTGATTGTTTCCTGTCTGGAATTCACCTGTTTTTTATTGTTCTTTGTTTTAGAGTTTTTTAAATATTGGCAGCCAGATTTTGTTCATTTTCATGGAAGGAACCCAGCAATAAGGACAAGGTCCTTGCATGGGTGACCACTTGCTCCCCTGCCCTTCCTTTCGCATCATCTGTGATCACTTTCCTCAACTTCATGCCCGTTAGGTGTCCAACACATTTGGGAGACACCAGGTTGCAGAAAGCTGCTTTATGATCTATGCCTTAGAGTAAATTCTGTTGGATCTTAGATCATTTTAAGTGCCCCTGATTTCACAGAAGCACCTGGTTGGCATCTCCAATGACATCAATTGGAAGTATTGAATTCAACACTGTTTAATTTTTTAACTGGATTATGTCCAGAATATTAAATTCTCACAGTGGTATTTCCAGCACCCTGTTAAGAAACATCAACTCTGGCATCACATCAAAGAAAATATAGCAAGTCATCTTACTGATTGAAAAGGAAATATTCATATTGAATGCTTTTGATCTGTTCACAAGTTATTGAAATATTTTCTAATCTTTCCATATTGAAGTTGTTAATGCTACCAATCTTGATTCTTAATTGTAAGGGCAATGCAAAACTGCAGAATGGATCTCTCCCCAGTCATCATTTCTTCTTTCATGACACTCTTGTAAACATTCTGCAATGCCAGGAATACAGCTAAATGGTGTAATGTTAGAAAATTTCGACCATTTCCACTATCTTAGCAGCCACCTCTCCACAAAAGTCAACATTGACACTGAAATACAACATCGCCTGAGCTCTGCGAGTGAAGCATTTTTCTGAATGAAGCAGAGAGTGTTTGAGGACTGGGACATCCGCAGGGAGACCAAGGTGCTTGTTTATAAAGCTATTGTCCTCCCAACCCTGTTATATGTCTGTGAAACGTGGACTGTCTACAGACATCACAATCAACTCCTAGAACAATTCCACCAGTGTTGCCTCTGAAAAATCCTGCAAATCTCTTGGGAAAACACGTGGACAAATGTCAGCATGCTGGAAGAAGCAAAGACAACCAACATTGAAGCGATGCTCCTATGCCATCAACTCAGCTGGACTGGCCACATTGTTTGAATGTCCAATCACCATCTCTCAAAGCAGTTACTATACTCCCAACTCAAGAACGGGAAGTGTAATGTTGGTGGACAGGAAAAGATATTTAAAGATGGGTTTAAAGGCAGTCTTTAAAACTGTGGTATAGACACAGAGAAGTGGGAAGCCCTGGCCCTTGAGTGTTCTAACTGGAGGTCAGCTGTGACCAGCAGTGCTGCAGAATTCGAAGAGGTTTAAAACAGGCTAGGTTTACAACAGGCTTTTTCTAAGTAACAAGGAGGATCAGAACCTTTTCTGTTACAGCTGCCACAAGTTAATTGGGTGTGTTATCTGCTTCAGGATATAAAACGGCACTAGGTTTGTAAGCTTTGAGCTTTGCATTTGGCTTAACTTGATGGCTCATCTGAGTTGAAGAAACCTTTGGTTGTTGCTGGGAGCAGTTATGCAGCATCCTGAAGCAGAAGACTGAAGCCGTTTGGAATGCCAGAGAAACTGCTTGTTTATGGCAAGATAAGGACATTCTACTGATAACTAAATGTATTATTTTGTATTATTTTGTATTATTTTGGTATGTGTTTGCATATTGTCGTGTAAAGAAGACTCACTAGAGATATTGTTTGTTGTATACTGGTGAGAAAAATTCTTCTGTTTTGCTTTGTGTTTTTTATCTACAGTGAACAGAGCTATATTTTTGTTTCTAATTAAAGCAACAGACTAATGTGCATTTTTTTAAAGTTTTTATCACACTGAGTGAAAGGGGCTGAGACTTTCTGCAGGCTATTAACACTATTCTGACATGAATGGAGGGTGAAAGGGAGAAATGTGCTAAGAGGAAGGCGCATCAAGCCAACCCTGACCAGGACCACCTTCCATCTGGAAACCGATGTCCTCACTGCGGGAGAACATGTGGATCAAGAATAGTTCCCTACAGCCACCTACGAACCCACCACCAAGACACTACACTTGGAGGACCATCATCCTCAGGCTACGAGGAATCGCCTAAGTAAAATAAATGTAAGCATTAGAGTTTAGAAAAGTTTTTTTTTTGGACTACAATTCCTAGAAACCCTGCAGAGTGCAGCAGGAGGCTTGCAAAATAAATTGTCATATATAAAAGACTATGAAAAAAATCCAGAGGATTTAGGATGTAAAGCAGGCATGGGCAAACTTCAACCCTCCAGGTGTTTTCGACTTCAACTCCCACCATTCCTAACAGCCTCAGGCCCCTTCCTTTCCCCCCTCAGCCACTTAAGCAGCTGAGGGGGAAAAGGAAAGGTCCTGAGGCTGTTAGGAATGGTGGGAGTTGAAGTCCAAAACATTTGGAGAGCTGAAGTTTGCTCATGCCTACTTTAAAGTGTAACCTTTAAAGTGACAACAAATAGATTGGAATGCATAATTAAATGTCAACGTATGTTAATGGCATAATTTCAAGAGGGAGATTGGGTTACTCTGTTAAAGTAGAGCTAACAGAATCCGTAGCACCTTAAAACCTAAAATGTTTCATTTGGCTGAAGCTTTCATGGACTGCAGCCCACGATGCATGTAACAAAGTGGGCAGCAATCCCAAAAGTCTATGCCAAATAAAACTCATCTGTCTTCAAGGTGCCACAAGACATACCTAGTTATGGACTTAGCTATGAGAGTGAAAAAGTCAGGCACAGATTGGCAGCTTTCCATTGGAAAACCTCTAGCTGAGATTTTGGGCACTTCTCTAAGAGACTTGTGACCAGGCTGCATTTCCACATCTGCTCAACCACCAACTTTACCCAGAAAAAAAGAAATCAGACCTGAAAGGTCTTGTGTGTTTTGCAGTACCTTCTATGTAGAAACCAATTGGGTTTTCACAGCATGGATAAAAATTCCGTGGTCAACTTCAACCAATCACAGAGTTTCACTAGATGACATAAAGATTCCTGGACAAGTCATATAAATCACATTTGCAAAAGCCAAATCTGCAAACCAGGAAGGCCAACTATAGTACAATCTTTGCTTTTAAAATCTAGCTATTACTAATTCTGAGAGGGGGTTTGTATGCTAGGGCATACAAAGAAGCGGATGAGCTAAATTATACAATGTATTGGTTCCAGCTATTGATACTTTCTTCCTTTGTTTAAAGCTGCTAATGAATTATTGGAGCATGTGAGAAGTCATTTTGTGTGTGTGTGTTTGTCAACTGTAAAATAAGATGCACAAAGCCAATTGGTTGGATTATGCCCGGGGAGCTGGCTGTGCCTGGGACTTTTGGGTACTGTTACATTTTTCAGGCTTGAGCTATGCAGGTGCTTGCAGAGAAGTGAAGAGAGAAGCAGGGAGAGACAGAGTTTGGAGTGTGCTCTCACTCCATGAGCTGCTGAAGGAGTTTATCCACATGGACAAAGACCATTTTGAATCTCTCACACTTGCCTCAAGCAGACAAGAGTTCTTTCTCCCACCCTGAACATTATTCCACAGATATATAAACCTCACTTGCCTAGTTTCCAACAGACCTCCCAACCTCTCAGGATGCCTGCCATAGATGTGGGCAAAATGTCAGGAGAGAATGTTTCTGAAACATGGCCATACAGTCCAGAAAGCTCACTGCAACCAGAATTACATGCTGTTTGCTTGTCATTGCTTCCATATTATTGAATTGCTCCTAAGTAGTCAGTCCCTATTCCCTTACAATGAGCAATATTTGAATACACACAATATTGATATTCTATTTGTAGACTGAGTAATTGTTATTTTGCTTGATCACAAGTGCAATTTTCAACTCAACATATCATAATGTCAATTCACAACTACCAACTAGCACCCCCTTCCCAGGAACAGGCAATTATGGAGCACTTGAGGGATCGTCCTTAATTAGTGAGTTCCTTTCCTCTGTGGGGTTGGCATGCTTTAATTATTGGCTTCCAGTTTGCAAACTAGAATATCTATTCATTTATCTTCTTTTTTCCTCTAACAAGTGTAATTTCACAGTTGCTAACCAATAAGCAAAATGCATGGGCCAAGGGTCCATCATTTAAGTGACAGTTAAAGGGCGTACCAGTTCCAAAGGAGGAAGGATCATTCCCTTCTCACAGATGGAAGCTTCTAATAAAAGGGACAGTAACGCTGGCAAAACTGGACAACTGGACAAATTCACAGCGCAGCTGCTAACAAAGGCCCTATCTACACTGCATTATATGGTTAGTGCAGATTCATTTAAGGAGCCCCCAGTGGCACAGAGGTTAAAGTGCTGAGCTGCTAAGCTTGTTGACCGAAAGGTCTCAGGTTCGAATCTGGGTAGCAGCATGAGCTTCTGCTGTCAGCCCCAGCTTCTGCCAACCGAACAGTTCGAAAACATGCAAATGTGAGTAGATCATTAAGTAACACTCAGACAGGAGGTAACAGCGCTCCATGCAGTCATGCCGGCCACATGACCTTGGAGGTGTCTTCGGACAATGCCGGCTCTTCGGCTTAGAAATGGAGATGAGCACCACACCCCAGAGTCGGACACGACTGGAGTTAATATCAGGGTAAAACCTTTACCTTTATTTTTTAGATTCATATAATGCATTTCAATGCAAGTACACTCCATTATATGAGTCTGCACCAGACATGGGCAAAGTCCAAAACACCTGGAGGGCCCAAGTTTGCCCATGCCTGGTCTACCCTGACCATATAATGCAATTTCAAACTGAATTATATGGCAGCTAAGATGGGGTCAAAGTATGATAGTTTAAGTCCATATAGAAAAGCCACAACATCTCTAGCTTTTGGTCAATTGGGGGGGGGGGTGAAGCTGATAGTATAGATCTATTCATTTTCAGAATGTTTATGCGTTTTGTTAAATAAGAGTACTGAGTTAACAGAAAGGCTATGTTTTTGCAATCATGATGTTTATGTACAGGCTGCAATTTTTAAAAGAAGAGTTAATTTTAGATAATGAGTATTTACCTTGTAGTGTGAATGCAGTTTGATACCACTTCAGCTCCATGCTATGAAATTCTGAGATATATAGAGTCACAGAATAATAGAGTTGGAAGAGACCTCATGGGCCATCCAGTCCAACCCCCTGCCAAGAAGCAGGAAAATTGCATTCAAATCACCCCTGACAGATGGCCATTCAGCCTCTGTTTAAAAGCCTCCAAAGAAGGAGCCTCCACCACACTACAGGGCAGAGAGTTCCACTGCTGAACAGCTCTCACAGTCAGGAAGTTCTTCCTAGTGTTTAGTTGGAATCTCCTTTCCTGTAGTTTGAAACCATTATTCCACGTCCTAGTCTTCAGGGTAGCAGAAAACAAGCTTGCTCCTTCCTCCCTATGACTTCCCCTCACATATTTATACATGGCCCTCCTTATGTCTTCTCTCAGTCTCCTATTCTAGTTTTGTGAGGAACAAGGTAAGTCTAAAAACCTTATAAAACTACAAATCCCCCCATGATTCTATAGCATGGAGTCATGACAGTTAAAGTAGTCTTAAACTGCATTCAGTCCACAGTGTAAACACTCTATAACTCCCCGAGTCCTCAAACCAGCACAGCCATTGGTCATACCAGTAAGAAGATTTTAGAAGCTGCGGTCTCAAAAAGTAACTTCTTCAAGCATTGTGTTGTACCCCTGGAAGTCAGACTTTAAAGAAAATGGGACGTTTTGGTCATGGTTTTGTGTGTCTGGAGCATTAAAATATTTGCTTTTCCTTTGTACTTACAACAGGGATGTTTTCACATAGCTGACATTTCCATTAGGCTTCGGACACTCTGGATTAACACACTGGAAACCTCCTCCTGTATTAATACACATTGTTCCTGTCGTGCAGTTGTGCAGTAAAAGCACACATTCGTCAATATCTGCAAAACAAATGGAGGTGTGAAAGATATATAGGATCATGTCTAGCAGTTTAGGTGGATTAGGGTTAGGGTTAGGGTTTGGATTACCAAATATCTTCCTTCAAAAGATACAAAACTTGAAATTGCCAGATTTTATTAAAAAAACATGAACGAGTGTGTGTATGGGGAGTCCTACAACCCACTATTCCTGGGGGCTTTTAGGGGAAATGGTTGCGTGTGGCTCCAGGGCTACACTTTAACCATACTGGTTTTATGTTTTGCAATTTGGGATTTCCAAGTTTTCAGAATAAGGAATAATTACGATCAAGCAGAGCACACAAAGCAAACCTATGCAAAGCTCTGGTTAGGTTTCACAAGAGGAGGATCAGGCACTGGTGAGGTCTCCAATCCTGGAGGATACCTCCAAATCCCTGCAAATCTCACTATGGTGGCCCAGCAGCTATTTTGAGGGGAAGAATTTTACAATTCCCAGAATGAAGAGTTAATCCTATGAGTGGAGTGAAAGCGGGGGAAATGCATCTTTCCTAGGACATTTGATGGAAACCAACATACCAAACACTAGTGACTAGTTCAGCTTTATCATAATCTGAGGGCATTTTCTGCTGCAGCCCAAATGGAGAGACCCCATGCTTCATTGAGACAATATCACTATTCAATTCCTAACAGCTCTTGGCACGTCACCTTCATACCTTCCAACATACCTTAAACTACACTACAATGTAGACCTTGTTTTAGGGTCCAGCTCTCTTGGTATTCACAGTCAGTATTTTAAGTTATGCTGGTGCCTGAGGAACTATCACAAAAATCTGGCTTGCTGCATGACTGTTGGTAAGCCCAGCATACACTCTTGTTAGTATTTCATATTCATCCCAGGATCTAGTGTGAAGCTACAGGGAGACAGTGGTATGGAGCATTGAATTAGCATTGAATTGTTGCTAGCACTGTGAACTGTCCTGAGTCCCCTTTGGGGTTCAGAAGGGCAGTATACAAATACCACTAATAAATAAATAATAAATGACTCCATAGATTATAGTGAGCTAGTGAAGGGCAACCAAGGCATCCTCTGGCTCACCTCAAGGCATTTTACTGCTGAAAGCAATGGACAAGATGGAATGTGTCCAGAGGAGAGCGACTAAAATGATAAAAGGTCTGGAGAACAAGCCCTATGAGGAGCGGCTTAAGGAGCTGGGCATGTTTAGCCTGAAGAAGAGAAGGCTGAGAGGGATATGATAGCCATGTATAAATATGTGAGAGGAAGCCACAGGGAGGAGGGAACAAGCTTGTTTCTGCTTCCCTGGAGACTAGGACGCGGAACAATGGCTTCAAACTACAAGAGAGGAGATTCCATCTGAACATGAGGAAGAACTTCCTGACTGTGAGAGCCGTTCAGCAGTGGAACTCTCTGCCCCGGCGTGTGGTGGAGGCTCCTTCTTTGGAAGCTTTTAAACAGAGGCTGGATGGCCATCTGTCAGGGGTGATTTGAATGCAATATTCCTGCTTCTTGGCAGGGGGTTGGACTGGATGGCCCATGAGGTCTCTTCCAACTCTTTGATTCTATGATTCTATGATGGTGCCCACTTCTCCCATCCCACAACTAGGCAGTGCATATGAAAACAAGCAGCAGTAATGCAGTTATGGGGAGGGCAACAGGAGAGCAGATCCAAGTAAGGTGGCCTTTTGCAGCTGACAGATGGCAATTTTTTCAGTGCCGATAGTTTTTAAGTGCAGGCCAAGGTCTTTAGGCACTGCACCCAGTGTGCTGATCATCACTGGGATCACCTTTACTGACTTGTGCCAGTGTCTTTGCAGTTCCATCTTTGAATCCTCCTATCGTGTAAGCTTTGACAGTTCAGTTCTGTGATATTGAAAATTTCTGCCTCTTTTGAAGTTATCATCATCATCACCATTATTGTCATAGGCATTATCATCATCTAATATGATGCATTCCCTGTAAACATGCATAGGTTTGCAACTTGCACTCAATATAATATAATATAATAACTTTATTTTTATACCTCGCCAACCACCTCCCCAAGGGGACTCGGGGCGGCTTACAAGGGACAAGTCGAAAAATTACAAATAGAACACAACAATTAAAAACATCAGATAAAATATAAAAAGAAACACAATTGTAAACAGTATCAAACAATATGGCTGAGAAAAACCATAGCTATATACAAAACGTATTCCTTCTCTCTCTCTCTCTTTTTTTTTGTCGTGTCAGGAGTGACTTGAGAAACTGCAAGTCGCTTCTGGTGTGAGAGAATTGGCTGTCTGCAAGGACGTTGCCCAGGGGACGCCCGGATGATTTTGATGTTTTTATCATCCTTGTGGGAGGCTTCTCTCATGTCCCCATATGAGGAGCTGGAGCTGATAGAGGGAGCTCATCCACCTCTCCCCGGATTCGAACCTGCGACCCATCGGTCTTCAGTCCTGCCGGCACAGGGGTTTAACCCACTGCACCATCATAGAATCATAGAGTTGGAAGAGACCACACGGGCCATCTCGTCCAACCCCCTGCAAAGCAGGAAAAGCACAATCAAAGTATCCCATACCATCTACCTTTTCTGATTTAGCAGAGGGAAGGAGAGAGGAGGAAACAAAATCTTGCTTTTCCCAATGGGCTTAGGCAAAAGCAAGCTGCTGTGATCTCTCCTGGCTTGTGTGTTGTTCCTCATACATTCCTTTTGTCATCTTGACTGCACTCCAGTGTTACTTGTCCACATCCATCCTAGTTTTCTTCTATGAAATGCAGGAGGGTGAAAAGTCCTACCATCAGATAGATATAAATATTTGTACACTGCCTAAAAATACTAGAAAGGATTCTACAGCTTCTATGAAATGTCATTTGCTATAAACTTAGCAACCGTAAAGCTATGTGTCACCTTCACAGCTTTTCCCATCGCTGAAGAGCCTGTACCCACTGGGGCAAGAGCAGAGGTAGGAGCCAGGAATGTTGATGCAGGTGTGCATACAGAGACGTGGGGCTCCTTCCAGCTTGTAGACTTTGCATTCATTCACATCTGCAGCAAGAAGGAAAAAAAATCTTAAGGCACAAATGGTTCATTTCATGGTACATTCAGCACGTGAGGAAAATGATCTTCTTTTCTAGAATGCCATTATGGATACTGTAGTGAGTAATTGCATGTGTATTGTTACAAATGCATCCATTGTATGGATTTATTTTAAAAACAGGCTAAGATCTTATTTCACCATGTACAGTTTGTAAGTACATGAATTCATACATTGCAGAAATGCAAAGAAACTCTGCCAGTGATTTGCAAAGATGCCAATGCTAGCAACAGCTGAAGTGCTCCAATTGGGCATTTCTGTTGCACAACTGGCACTCCTATTACTGATTTTGGAAGCTATGCAGCGCCAGCCCTGGTTACTATGTACTAGATGGGAAACTGCCAACGAATGCCAGATGATATTCCAGAGGAAGGAATGGGTAATATCACCTCTTCCTAAGAGAAGACAGGGTTGTTGTAGGTTTTTCAGGCTGTATGGCCATGTTCTAGAAGCATTCTCTCCTGACATTTCACCTGCATCTTTGGCAGGCATCTTCAGAGGTTTTGAGGTCACAACCTCTGAGGATGCCTACCACAGATGCAGGCGAAACATCAGGAGAGAATGCTTCTAGAACATGGCCATACAGCCCGAAAAACTTACAACAACCCAGTGATTCCAGCCATGAAAGCCTTCGACAATACATTACACATAGGGTTGCCATAAATCAACAGTCAACTTGAAGACACATGGAGCCCTTCTACACTGCCAAATAATCCAGATTATCAATGCAGATAATCCACATTATCTGCTTTGAACAGCCATATAATCCAGCTCGAAACAGATAATCTGGATTTGATATGGCAGTGTAGAAAGAGCCATAAGATATGTACACACTGTGATCTTGTATTTCCTAACTGGAATCTACATTCGCATTGGAAGCATTTTGCAGTGACTACAGCACATTGGTTCACAATACATAAGTCATTTTGCTATTGCGCAAGGGGCATCGATACGCTAAAATGTCACAGCAACCCTTAGGTGAATAAGAGACCCAAAGCGGCTTTTCCAGAAAGTGAATAGTATCTTAAAAGTAACTGTGGGAACTCCAAATCAGGCTAATTGCATCCATTTGTACGGTATTTAACCACATGTGGAAAAATTCAGTTTTTGGACTACAACACCCAGAACTCTTCAGCCACCATGCAGTTGTACAGTTGTCCCTCCACATTTGTGGTTTTGACTTTTGCAGATTTGGATATTCATGGGGTTGATTTAAAATGTTATTTCTAGAACACTCTACTCCTTTAGAGTGACTCTATGGTCAGCTTTCTCTAGTCATGATGCAGGACATCGAGATTTCTAGAGAGAACACTTTCAACATTAACCAGGATCAGACACTGTTCCAATTGGTAGCTCTCCAGAAAGGATCTCTTACCTTGACAGATGCTGTTTTCTGAGGTGCCACTCATATGGAAGCCTGCTTCACAGCTGCATTGCTGCATATGGTCAAATTTGGCACAGCGTGGTTTACGACTGAATCCGGGATCGTTGGTCACGCTCCATGTGGGGGGAACTAAAAGAGAGCAGTGGGATGGGGAGACATCCTTTGATCAGAAAGATCCTCCTCCTCCAACAGCTTTTGTTTATACATTTCTTTAACTCGCTTTGTCTTTCTTACAATTATTTCACTGTTTACAATATGAGGTTTGCAAATCCATGCTCAATTTGACTGACACTCTTCCTGTAGTTTCATTGTTGGATTCATAATCCCTGCAAAGGTGGATCTGCAGACTGTCTCCAATTTTATTTATCTTTTCCCAAAAATATATGAGTAAAGCGGATGAAATTCAAAAGTGCAAGCCTGTGAAGGGATGAGGGATAGGCGCTCCCCTGACCACATCAGAAATGGAGAAATTACAAGTGTGGGCTTCTGCTTTACAGCAAGCCATAGTTTGCCACTGGATACTCATACAAGACAAACTATGATTTATACAAAACATATCTAGGCACAACAGCAAACAATGGCTTCCTGCAAAAGAGAGCTTCTCATTGTTTTAGCCCTGGTTACTATTGTTGGAGGCTACCAACAAATACGAGATGCTGTAGGCTATCTATCAGAGAGAGGAATTGGCAAAACCACTCCTGAGTATTCCTTGTCTAAGAAAACCCTATGAAATTATGAAATTCAACTTGAAGGCGCATAAACACATATAATCAGCACCTTGGATAGCTTTTTAAAAGTTCAGATTTCATCTTAGAACAGTGGTTTTCAACCTGTGGGTCCCCAGGTGTTTTGGCCTACAATCCCCAGAAATCCCAGACAGTTTACCAGCTGTTAGAATTTCTGGGAGATGAAGGCCAAAACATCTGGAGACCCACAGGTTGAAAACCACTGGAATGAATACCCTGCTCTACTTGTAGGAAAGGGAGTCGTCACCACTATTCCAGGCTACAGGCATTACAAATCTCTCATGACCTACAGATGCTGTGAGCTATAGTGTAATAAAAGTAATTCCTCCAAACACATATATTCCCATCTTCTCTTTCCCTCGTCAGCAAAATACATACCTGTCTGTGTTTGGTATTGGCAGTTGGAGCCAGTCCAGTCCTTTGAGCAAATGCATTTGTACTGTTCACCTTCACTGACACATGTTCCCCCATTCTGGCAGAGATGAGGAGTGCATTCAATGACATCTTTTAAGTAAACAAACAAACAAACAAACAAACAAAAATTTAATGTGAAAGCTGATGGTCAACACAAGATGCAATGGCCCTCAAGGGCATCATAGGTAGTGGGCAGGACTGGTAGTTGCTCCCAAACTGTAAAACACTCTCCTTTTGGGAGGCTGGGCTGACCTCTTCCTTGCTCTTTATTCAGGAGAGCTCTTGAGTATCCTGCGACTGTTGCACCCTAGCACTACAACATCTCTTTCACCCAGCACCACACCAGAGTCCAATGACCCATTAAAGAATGTTTATTTTTAAAAGCATATAAAAAGGGGAAAAGAGCAAATCCAAAGGAGACATTCAGGGTATAAAATGCAGTATACAAAAGAAGCCAGAGTTCAGTAGCAGTAGCAGTAATCCAAAAATGCCTGGCATAAACACAGGCATAAACAGGAACATGAAATGAGAATCTTGAGAATACAGGAACCATGAACTTGGAATCATCAATAGGAATCATAATAGGAATTATGAACAGGAGACCAATCTCTTAATAGCAACGTTGTCTCCTCTGAAAGGCCTGAAACCCAAACCACCTAATTTAAACCTGCCAAGGAACCCATGGCATCATGCCTAACACATCTGGACTTTAAGATCTTATCACGAATCCTCTGAGAAAATCTAGATTGCCTGCTTTTCACACCCTGCGTTCTCAGGTCTAATCTGCCCTCCCTTGAAAACTCCTTGGCTTCCCAAGGCCTTTTCCTCAAGGGAACTGGTACTTTCATTTCCCCCTGTTGCCTGGGAACAATTCAAAACATCTGCCCCATCTGTCTGCAATTTCCCCCAAACATTCACAGACCCCTAATTTTGGAACCCATCATCCCCCTCATCTCCTGAACACTCAGAAAAATCTTCTGATGCTAGCCAGACTACAACAGCGACTTTTAAAAATGTGGGATCAGGCTACATTAAACAGTCTTTTACTGCATGGCTGTAATGCCGCAGAGTCCATTTGCCCTGGGACAACTCATTTGGCCCATATAGACCTACCCACAAATAACTCCTAAACTCACACCACCACCTGTGCCACCTTAACCTTTTTTCTGGCTTTTTTGTGTTGAAATAATTAGTCTGGCAGAATTCCTTGAAGCAACAGGACTGTGAATGCCTCTTGGGCTGGAATGGCTTTACATCTGTCAAATGCCAAGCTGTCTTGTGCATCAATAGAATACTCTAAATAATCAGAGGTCACCAGACCATGAAGTTATTGAATGAGCAATCAAGGAGTTGCAAAAGTGCCGTCCTTGTTCTCTTGGCCTCTCATGTCCTTGAACTTTCTGTTAGATTGAGACTCTCATCTGCTTCGCTTAAGCGAAGATATGGATCACTGGGCAGTGATACCTGAACCAAGCTACCAGCCACTGCCCAGATATTTCAAAGGGGGGAAATGCAGCTGTGTTGTTTTTTACACACAGGCCGGGTGCGAATCTCCCAAACAATATGTGTATATAGACACTGTGGGGAGAAAGATTTATGCTGATAATCTGAATCACGGTCCTTCTTCCTGTCGCAGCCAGCCACCTGATCTTAGACTATCTGGCTAACACAAGGCATCTTTTAATCCCTTCAGAAACCTCTCAGCTACAATGGAGAAGGGACTGTCCTCTAGCCACATCAATGTTCAGGCACTATGGTTCAATGGCTCATATGCATTTCACACAATGTGGTGGCGATTTGTTTAAACACACCACACTTTCAATGCCTCCATGCTCTAAATGCCCAAAGGAAGAGCGTGTAAAAGTGTAAACTATAGACAACAGGGCAAGAAAGAGGTGGTGGTGGTGGTGAGGAGTTTGCATTGATTTAACCTTTACTAGAAAATAAAAATAAGTCAGCAGTGTAGGGAGGGACCATTAATCACACATATAGGTCCTTCCCCCCATCAAGTGCCTGTCATACATGAGGAAGGACTGATATCAAAAGCAAACAGGTGACGTCTGGTACAAAACGATACAGTCTGAAGGTATCAGAGTTTAGAGGGTGCATCCACACTGTAGGATTAATGCAGTTTGACACCTCTTTAACTGCCATGGCCCAATGCTATCAAATCCTGTAATTTGTAATTTTGTGAGACGCCAGCACTATTTGGCAGAAAAGGCAAATGGTGGTCCACGCCCTTGCTACATCCTGAATAGAATACTACAACACACTCTATGTGGGGTTGCATTTGAAGACTGTTCAGAAACTCCAACTAGTCCAACGGGCAGTAGCCAGATTACTAACTGGAGTAACATATAGGGAGCATACCACCCCCCCCACCCCCCGTTGTGTTAGCTCCACTGGCTGCCGGTCCATTTCTGAGCACAATTCAAAGTGTGAGTCTTGACCTATAAACCCCTTTACAGTTCCGGCCATCTTACTTGTCTGAACATATCTCTCTCTACGTCCCACCTCGGACTTTAAGATCATCGGGGGAGGCCCTGCTTTCTGTTCTGCCTTCTTCACAAGTGCGTTTGGTGGGTACGAGAGACAGGGCCTTCTCGGTGGTGGCCCCTCACCTCTGGGACACCCTCTCCAGCGAGATTGGGTCAGCTCCATCTCTCCTCTCCTTCAGGAAGAAGCTTAAATCATGGTTCTGGGGCCAGTTAATTGAGGAGAAGGCTTGATAGCGATTGTAATATTTACATGAGCTGCCAATAGCCAGGCTCTGACAAAGTCTTGGGATGCTGAATTGGATTGAATTTGGCTAAATGGTTGTTAGTAATGTTTTTAAAATGGATTTTAACTTAATGGTTTTGTTTAATGTATAATGTTGTGATATATTGCATATGTATTCTGTATGTGTTGGCATTGAATTGTTGCCGATGTAAGCCACCCTGAGTCCCACTTCAGGGGTTGAGAAGGACGGGGTACAAATGTTGGAAATAAATAAATAAATAAATAAAGACTGTGTAAAATTACAACTCCCATAATTCCATGGCACTGAGCCATGACAATAAAAGTGGTATCAAATTGCATTTAATTATATAGTTAATTTTTTTCTTTATTAAACAAATAGCAAAACAAATAGATAACTACAGATAAATGCAGAAGAAATAAATGAGTATCTACTCTTCTGCATATAATTGTAATATACGTGGCTTCAAAGTTAGCAGTTTTCTGCTACACGCAACAGGCAAACATATTCCACTATCTCTTCCAGAATTTGAAATGTGTATGTTAATTTCCTGTTTATCATCACTGAACAGAGTTCTTCCCAGTAAATATTTTTATAGAGGCAATTATATATAATTTTCTTGTTTGGCAACCTACATAAATCACATATTGGCAGAATGACATGTTTGCAAATCAGCACATTAAAATAATGACTGTGTTTGTGCCTTGCCAATCCATTTTTCACATGCTGGCATCTGTTATTAGAAATAAAGGATCTGTTGAAGGATTTGATTGATGCTGGGCTCTTCAGCATTCACCACAATGAATAACAGGGACAGTGTTTCAGAATGGCTCATAATATTCTGAGGACAGTGAACAAGATCAGAATAATGTTTTAACATTTTATATTAGCTAGGAACAACGCTTTATGTCAGTGTTTCTCAACCTGGGGGTCAGGACCCCCCCGGGGGGGGGGGTCACAAGGGGTGTGTGTCAGATTTCTGATGGTCTTAGGCACCCATTTGGCAGAGAAGGCTGAAGATCTCTTTGCCTATCCTTCTTTTCCTTTTTAGAAACAGACAGTGAATCCTCCCACCAAAAGCCCTCCTCCTGCTGTGATTGGCTGGCCTCTCAGCTGGCCTCTCAGTCAAGGGGAGGGCTGTTTCTGAGACTCCAAGTGGGGAGGGGAGAGCAGGCATGCTCAGTGCATGACAAAGCGGTGCACATGTGTGGGTGAGGGAGAGCGTGCAAGGTTGGAGGGAGGCTCATATCAGCGAGTCCCTTCAAGGCAGGGGGAAAAGCACTTGTGCGACGTGGGACCGAGAGTGGCACAGCAGCATCAGGAGGAACAGGAGCAACTTAGGCAATTTGTAATGTTATTTATTAGAAAAAAATCAATATTTCCTTTTGTTTTTAATTAATGCTGCCATTAGAAAATGCATAAGGATGTGGGTGAGCTACAACTTCCAAAACTGTGGGTCAATCCTCCCCAAATCTCACCAATATTCACAGTTGGTCATGTTGGGTCTGTGTGCCAAGTTTGGTCCAGATTAATCATTGTTTGAGTCCACAGTGCTCTCTGGATCTAGGTGAACTACAACTCCAAAACTCAAGGTCAATGCCCACCAAACCCTTCCAGTATTTTCTGTTGGTCATGAGAATTCTGTGTATTAAGTTTGGTTCAATTCCATCATTGATGGAGTTCAGAATGCCCTTTGATTTTAAGTTAATTATAAACCCCAGGAATTACAACTCTCAAATGACAAAATCAATCCTTCCCCAATCCCAACAGTATTCAGATTTGGACATATAGAGTATTTGTGCCAACATTGGTCCAGTGAATGAAGATACACCCTGCATATCAGATATTTACATAACATTTCATAACAGTAGCAAAATTACAGTTATGAAGTAACAACGAAAATAATGTTATGGTTGGGGGTCACCACAACATGAGGGAATGTATTAAGGGGTACTAGTCTTATAACTATATTATATCATCTATGGCTTGTTTAGCAAGGCGTCTGTGCCAAGAGAAAGGAAATCAAAAGGCAAGGATACCTTTGCATTGAGTAGCTTCTCCAGTCCAAGTACCATTAGACTGGCACATCCGAGAACTGGAACCAGCGAGCTGGAATCCAGGATCACAGGTGAAATGGACTTCGTGGTCCACCATGTTCTTGGTGCCAAATCTCTTGCCATGCAGAGGAACTTCCAGGTTTGGGCAGAATACTACAAAGACAATTGGACAGTCAGGGTTTGAAAGATATTTAATGAGCACCATAAACCAAACCTCTCTTTTCTGATTCCAGAAAATAAACAAGCTTGAGTCTACTTAGAAGCTGGGTGGGAAACTGCTAGGGGAGCATAAAGCAGTCACTGTGTTCCTATTTAGTTAGCTTCTTGTGGAAGAAACAGGGCAAAATAAAGTCATTTCGCCACATTAAACATTCACAGATTTAATTATTCACATATTAGTGTATTCACCATCATCTCTGTTGCTGCCCTATTCAAAACTAAAAACATACTGTATATTCTCTCTAGGTGTTTTAAGGTCCTCCAGAAAACTTTAGTTTTTGCTGGAATTGAGTTGGAGGACTTAGAGATGCCTAGAGTATTTTTTTCAGCTAAAAATAATAGTGTCCACGACCTTTATTGATATTCACTTTTTTCCACTTTCACAGAGATGCTATGCCCAACCTCCATGAAAGTTAAGGTCCAACTATTCTAAATTTCCTGAATATACCTGACTGTATGCAGGCGGACTTCTTCACTCATGACTGATGGGATATGAAAGTAACAAAATACAAACAATAGATTACAAGTAATTATTTCCCTTCCCTCATATGTACTGAATGGTATAGGTGATATATCTCATGGTTCAAGTGCCAGCTTGTGCAGGATCTCATGTTTGCTGCCTTGAACTTTGTTGTGGATGTTAGATTACAACGAGATGGATGGAAGTACAGTGTGTGATTTGTACCACCTTTAGATGTTATTTTCTTTAATTAATTAGAAGTGCCCATACTGGATACTTTTGAGAAATAGAAAAGAATGTTACTTCTGAAAACTATGGGTGGTAAGTGGTCATTACCTACTTGAAAGCGGGTTGTTGTAGGTTTTTCGGGCTCTATGGCCATGTTCTAGAAGCATTCTCTCCTGACGTTTCACCTGCATCTATGAAAGGCATTCTCAGAGATTTTGAGGTCTGTTGAAAACTAGGAAAATTGGATTTCTGTATCTGTAGAATGTCCATGGTAGGAGTCTACCATATACCATACAGCTGTGGACACGTCTACATAGGGACCACCAAATGCAGTGCCCAAACACAAATCAAGGAACATGAAAGCCACTGCAGACTACTTCAATCAGAGAAGTCAGCTATAGCAGAGCACCTGATGAACCAACCTGGACACCGCATATTATCTGAAAACACAGAAATGCTGGACCGCTCTAACAACTACCATGTCAGGCTAGACAGAGAAGCTATTGAAATCCACAAGCATGTGGACAATTTCAACAGAAAGGAAGAAACCATGAAAATGAACAAAATCTGCCTACCAGTATTAAAAAAACTCTAAAATTATAACAGCAAATAAAGAACAACACTCAAACACAGGGGAACTCCAGACAAGAAACAATCAGGGACAGCTAATCACCCCTCAACAAAGGATTCCCCCAGGCCACACCTAAAAACTGTAGGGGCATCAAATGCTAATCAAGGTGGCCAATTGAAACATTCACACCTAGCTCCAGCAGACAAGAGTTCTTTCTCCCATCCTGGACATTCCACAGACATATAAACCCCATTTTCCTAGTTTCCAGTAGACTTTACAGCCTCTGAGGATGGTTGCCATAGATGCAGGAGAAACATCAGGAGAGAACGTGGCCATATAGCCCAAAAAACCTACAACAACCCAGTGATTCCGGCCATGAAAGCCTTCGACAGTATTTGAAAGTGTATTCCGCTTGCTACTAGTACTACTTGAAGCTAGGATGTTGCAAGTGGAACTGCAACTAAGTACTTTATAGTGTAACTGTATGAACACTCATAGAATCAGAGTCATAGAGTTGGAAGAGATCACAAGGGCCATCTAGTTTGACAGTCCTTTGCTTTACCACGAAGCAACTTAGATTTGTCCAAGGCCACCAAATACCTTTGTAGTTATTCAGTCCATTGGCATCTAGTGAATCAAGAAACTAATGATCCTCAGATTACCCTAAACCAAACCAATCTTCTATCTGGTCCCCCCATTTCACATCATGTGGAAATTCTATCCCCCCTCACCACACTTCTTTACCAGTTTGCGGTTCTGTTGGAGCTTTAGTCACTGTGTTTTGCAGGGTTGTTAATCGGTGTTTCATGAGGCGTATTCCCTCTACAAATCGTGTTTCATGGCCTTTCAGGAATTGCTGCATTTGACGGATGGTGGCCAGAAGCTGCTGCTTATTCAAGCAGCTCTGCAGGAAAGATAATGAGAAAAAAAGGGGTAAAATTATTATTGTAGAGTGTCGCGCAACGGCAGGTGCTGGCACAGTATCTATATGTTTGATAAAAATAATGTAGAATACATTGAAAGCAATTTTTTCCAGTCGATTCTCTCAAGTCCTTCAGTTTGACTTTTTGGTCAATCTCCAGTGGAAGTTGACCACAGAGCCATGCTGGAGGGCCTACAGGTTCCTAGTGTTGCACTCCAGCACTGAAACACCTTTTCACTCAGCACCACACCAGAGCCTGAGAGGCCTGAAGTCAATGTACTTATAATGACAAATGGTATGACCATGGACTATGATTTAGATTGCGTGATTTTAATTAACCGTTTGGATTTTAACTTATTTGTTTATTTTATTGATATGCATATGTATGGTGTGGAAGATTCTTACTTACAGTCCCTGATGCTGTACCACCAATACAGTAAAGGCTACCGTTAATTAAGAACTGCCTCAGACTCAAACTATCTGCTGCCACCACTATGTAAGATGATTATTAAATAAATTCAATTAAGTGTTTGGAGGCTGTAGAGGCTTTGCCACCAACACACTGTTATCTGAGGTAAAGTTCTATGACAGGGGTCCCCAAACTCAGGCCCGCGGGCCAGATGCGGCCCGCCAAGGGCATTTATCCGGCCCGCGCGGCCTGGCCTGGGCTGGCGCAAAGCCCCTCGCCATTTGTCTCTCTCCCTCCGGAGCGGCTTCAGGTGGGGGCGCGCCGGACCAGGCTTCTCCCTCTTTCTTTCCTTCCTTCCTTCCCCTTCCCCCTTTCTCTCCCCTTCCCCTTCCTTCTCCTTTCCCCTCCCTCCTTCCCTCCCTTCCTTTCCTTCTTCCTCCCTCCTTCCCTCCCCTACTTGGTGGGGATGCCGGCCCGGGGAAGCCAGTGTTGCCTGGCCACACCCACCCTGCGACGCCTCTGCTTGTTCTCCTGGTGTGGCTGGGAGGGGAACAGGAGGTGCCTCATGGCCGCAGATCTTCTGCTGCTGCACTCTCTTGTTCCCCGTGGCCACGAGGCGCCTCCTGCTTCCCTCCCAGCCACGTCAGGAGAACAAGCGGAGGCGGCGCCTGGCCCGGTGTCCCCACCTGGTAGTTTTCTCCTTCCCACATGGGAGAGAAGGAAGAAGGAAGGGAAGGAGGGAGGGGAAAGGAGAAGGAAGGAAAGGAAGGGAGGGAGGGAGGGAGGGAAGGAAGGAAGGAAGGAAGGAAGGAAAAAGAAAGAGGGAGAAGCCTGGTCCGGCCAAGTTTGGTCCAGATCCAGATCCAACATCGTTTGAGTCCACAATGATCTCTGGATGTAGGTGAACTACAACTCCAAAACCAAAGGACACTGCCCACCAAACCCTTCCAGTATTTTCTGTTGGTCATGGAAGTTGTGTGTGCCAAGTTTGGTTCCATTCCATTGTTGGCGGGGGGGGGGGGTGTTCAGAATGTTCTTTGATTATAAATCCCAGGAACTACAACTCCCAAATGTCAAAATCAATTTTTTTGAGTGAAGGACATACATTGGGTTGTTAGGTGTCCAGTGGTTTTTGATTTCTGTTAATCCCACAAATGAACATTACATTTTTATTTATATAGATTTATTTCCTATATTTATACCCTGCCCTTCTCCCCCTGAAAGGGGACTCATGCTTACATATTCCAAAAAACCACTTTCAAAACGACAGAAAATATATTTTTTTCCTCATTTTCATTGGAACTATTTTATTTTCAGAAATGCTAAAGCTATCTTTTTCTATGTATTCCTATATTGCTTTCAGCAGCCCATGGTTGGGTGTGTGTAGAGTTCTCCTTTTATTTATGGCGGCCCCATGAATTTAATAGGGTTTTCTTTGAGAGGAAATACTCAAAAATAGTTTTGTCAGTTTCTTTCTCTGAAATAGAGCACCTGCTATTCATTTGTGGCTTCCCATCCAAATACTAACCAGAACTGGCCCTGCTTAGCATTCCAGGTCAGAGACATTTAATCTTTCATTGACTTTGCCAGGTATTATTCTTCTGTACAGTCGTCTCTGTGACCCCTGTGACCCAACCTGGACAGGCAGTCCCCAAGTTACAAACAAATTATGTAGTTTTGTCCTCACTGAGGGCTGAACAGTAAACATATTCATGGATTCCCTGCTGTTATATTAAGACTGTTACACATGCTGTGACATGCTTGAAATCAAAATTTCATTTATTTTTAATTAAAAATAAATATTTCACAATGTATAATTATATATTGTTATTGTGATTCATCACTATGCTTTATTTTCAGATTGTAACAATAAAAATACATCCTGCATATCAGATATTTACATTACGATTCATAACAGTAGCAAAATAAGACATGTGCAGTGTGCATAGGAATTTGGTCATGGTTTTTTTTTTAAAAAAAACTATAGTCCGGCCCTCCAATGGTCAGAGGGACAGTAATCTGGCCCCCTGTTTAAAAAGTTTGGGGACCCCTGCTATAGAGACAGCATACCTGACATTTCAGAAATTTGAGATGATCAAACAATCTAACGGATTCATTTACTGGGTTGAGAAAGCATGCTGTTCTTCCTTCTCCCTAACTCTTATCATGTGTGGCATGCAAGAAGAAGAAGTTGGGAGACACGCTTCATACTTTTATAATACGCTCTTTGTAAAGGGGTTATTTTTAACACGAGCTGCTGCGGTACAGTTAAGCATAATAAACTTCGCCACTGAATAGCTCACTCTCTCCAGCAAAATGATTTGATTTGATATTGCTCGACTGAACTAGTTTGTTTAGATATTTCTGGAGGAGCAGGTCGAGTTTATTTCCTTAGCCCAGTTGTAGAGTTGCAGTTTCATATTTCACCAATATGACTGTAAGAAATGTAACTAACCAGGTATTAAATTCAGGAGAAAATCAATTAAAAGGGTAATTTATAAACGGAGTGTATCTGAAGCTGCACTTGGTTCGTAACCTGGACCAATCTTGCAGGAATAGATGTGACTCACAGACAGGTTATATCAGGCATGGGCAAACTTTGGCTCTCCAGGTGTTTTGGACTCCAACTCCCACCATTCCTAACAGCCTCAGGACCTTTTCTTTTCACCCTCAGCCGCTTAAGCAGCTGAGGGTGAAAAGAAAAGGGCCTGAGGCTGTTAGGAATGGTGGGAGTTGGAGTCCAAAACACCTGGAGAGCCAAAGTTTGCCCATGCCTGAGATAACTCCTGATAAAAAACTATTACAGGTTTTTTATACCTCCCGATAAAAAACTATTACAGGTTGTCTACCCCTGATGCAAAATACTTGTGAGTAGAAATATTTTGGATTTCAGATTTTCCACAAATATACATACTCTTAGCAATCAGAGCCAACCATTTATGCTTCATTATACATGTAGCTTGGAAGAAATTTTGCACATACAATATTTTTAGTTATTTTGTGCATGAAACAAAGTTTGCAGGCAGGTGCATCTACTTACAGTTAATGTGAGTAAATGCACAATTAATGTAGAATCAATGCACTCAGGCAACACTTTAGCTGCCATGGCTCAGTGCTATGGCATCATGGGAGTTGTAGTTTCCCAAGGTCTGCAGTATTTTCTGTCCAAAGGAACTACAAATCACAGGGCTCAGTGCTATGGCATCACAAGGGTTGTAGTTTTCCCAGGTCTGAAGCATTTTCTGACCTATGGCATCACAGGGGTTGTAGTTTTACAAGGTCTGCAGCATTTTCTGACCAAAGGAACTACAAATCACAGGGCTCGGTGCTATGGCATCACAGGGGTTGCATTTCTCCAAGGTCTGCAGCATTTTCTAACCAAAGGAACTACAAATCCCAAGGCTCAGTGCTATGGCATCACAAGAGTTGTAGTTTTCCAAGGTCTGATGCATTTTCTGACCTATGGCATCACAGGGGTTGTAGTTTTCCAAGATCTGATGCATTTTCTAACCAAAGGAACTACAAATCCCAAGGCTTGGTGCTATGGCATCACAGGGGTTGCAGTTCTCCAAGGTCTGCAGCATGTTCTGACCAAAGGAACTACAAATTCCAAGGCTCAGTGCCATGGCATCACAAGGGCTATAGTTTTCCAAGGTCTGCAGCATTTTCTGAGCAAAGGAACTATAAATCCCGAGGCTTGGTGCTATGGCATCACAGGGGTTATAGTTTTCCAAAGTCTGCAGCATTTTCTGACCAAGGGAACTACAAATCCCAAGGCTCAGTGCTATGGCATCACAGGGGTTGTAGTTTTCCAAGTTCTGCATCATTTTCTGACCAAAGGAACTACAAATCCCATGATTCCACAGCATTTAGTTTTACTCATCCAAGGGTGCATCTACACTATCGGAATCAATGCGGTTTGCCACCACTTTAACTGCCAAGGTTCAATGCTATGCAATCATGGGAGCTATAGTTTTACAAGGAGTGGCGCTGCCTCCCCAAACTCCATGGTGATTAAAGTGGTGCCAAACTGCATTAATTCCACAATGTAGATGGCCCCTTACTTTCCTATTGCCTTTAGCTAAAGAGAGAGCAGAAAGAAACAGCGATGAGGGAGGGAAAGGGTCCAGCTTTTCAATAGAGAGAGAGTCAGCAAGAGAAGTGTCAGTCCCTTGACTGGCATTTTGCATGGATTGCGTTCGCTTCCCGCAACACTCTTAAAGGGACAGGCGTCCAAAAGACGATGAGTAGTAAGCCAACCTTAGAGCAGGCGGTGGGGCGCATTTGCTAACTTTACCTGGGAAGCTGGAGATTCCTGGCACGACGTTAAGCAGAAGAAGAAGAGGAGGAAGAGGCTGCAGTGCAGTCCAGGCATCATGGTGCTGGTCTTTCCAAAGCAAGGAACCTCTTGCAATTGGGAGATGCAAAGGCAGAGAGACACAGAGAGACCTCTTCGTTTCTGATCCGGAGTCAGTGAACTTGCGCCGCAGGCTCCGTATCACGCAACAGGTTCCCGAGGAATAGCCCACTCCGTCCCCACTTCTCATTGGCAGGAAAGGGAGCCTTTGCTGCAAGCCAGGGAGCTCCCTCTCTCTCCCTCGCCATCCAGGTCCTTCCCCATCTCACAGAAAAACCAGCACCTTCCATTCACTGCTGGGCTCCTGCTGCTCTGGAAGCACTGGCTTTGTTTTTGTTGCTCAAAGGGAATATGGGAGACCAGCAAAAAGTCCAGCTCTACCTGCTTTTAAGAAAGAACACATCCAAACAGAGAAGGGAACACATCCTAATGGGGAAATAAGAATATGTCATTTACTGTTCACACTCCAGAACAAAAATAGATAACACTATGTAAGAAAACTTGGATCTGTTCCTGGTTTGAAAGGGCTATTTCCTGTCTAATTGTTTATTTATTTATTTATTTATTTAAAACATTTATATTCTGCCCTTCTCACCCCGAAGGGGACTCAGGGAGGAGCATATACACGGCAAACATTCAATGCCAGGACACAGATTCACATACAATACACAAACATTAAAAAAATTATCAAAATATTAAAATACACCATTTAAAATCGTCCTAGTCATCCGCATCAAATCATTGGCCTGGTCATCTTTCCTATTGCCGCTTTATTGCCCTGTCCCAAAGGCCTGGTGCCACAGCCAAGTTTTTACCATCCTTCTAAAGGACAGGAGAGAGGGGGCCAACCTGATCTCACCAGGTAGGGAGTTCCATAGCCGGGGAGCAATCACCGAGAAGGCCCTGTCTCTCGTCCCCACCAATCGTGCCTGTGACACTTTACTTACTTGCTTACTTACTTAGACGATCCCTCATTGGACGAGTAAGATGGTCTTCCATCATGGGTTTCCTTGTGGGTCCGTATGTGGCTGTGAAGCCCTATTCTTGCTCTGCATCTTCTTCCGCAGTGAGGGCATTGGTTTCCAGGTGGAAGGCGGTCCCGATTGGGGTTGGCTTGATGCGCCTTCCTCTGGCACGTTTCTCTCTTTCACCCTCCACTCGTGCCTCCTCAAATTCTGCAGCACTGCTGGTCACAGCTGACCTCCAGCTGGAACGCTCAAGGGCCAGGGCTTCCCAGTTCTCAGTGTCTATGCCAGAGTTTTTAAGGTTGGCTTTGAGCCCATCTTTAAATCTCTTTTCCTGTCCACCAACGTTCCGTTTTCCGTTCTTGAGTTCGGAGTAGAGCAACTGCTTTGGGAGACGGTGGTCAGGCATCCGGACAACGTGGCCGGCCCAGCGGAGTTGATGTTGGAGGACCATCGCTTCAATGCAGGTGGTCTTTGCTTCTTCCAGCACACTGACATTTGTCCGCCTGTCTTCCCAAGAGATTTGCAGGATTTTTGGAAGCACTGATGGAATCGTTCCAGGAGTTGCATGTGACGTCTGTAGACAGTCCACGTTTCGCAGGCATATAGCAGGGTTGGGAGGACAATAGCTTTATAGACAAGCACCTTGGTATCCCTACGGATGTCCCGGTCCTCAAACACTCTCTGCTTCATTCGGAAAAATGCTGCACTTGCAGAGCTCAGGCGGTGTTGTATTTCGGTCGATGTTGACTTTGGTGGAGAGGTGGCTGCCAAGGTAGCGGAAATGGTCAACATTTTCTAATGTTACACCATTAAGCTGTATCTCTGGCATTGGAGAGGGGATGGCTGGTGACTGCTGGAACAGCACTTTGGTTTTCTCGATGTTCAGTGACAGGCCAAGCTTCATGTATGCTTCTGCAAAGGTGTTGAGAGTGGCTTGTAGATCTTCTTCTGTATGCGCACAGACGACATTGTCATCAGCATACTGGAGTTCTATAACAGATGTTGTTGTAACTTTGGTTTTGGCTTTCAGTCTGCTGAGGTTAAACAGCTTGCCATCTGTCTGATAGATGATTTCCACTCTGGTGGGAAGCTTCCCATCAACAAGGTGAAGCATCATAGCGATGAAGATGGAGAATAAAGTTGGGGCAATAACACATCCCTGTTTGACACCCGATTCCACCTTAAATGGGTCACTTTGGGAGCCATTGCTGTCCAAGACTGTTGCCATCATGTCATCATGGAGGAGCCGCAGGATGTTCACAAATTTGTTTGGGCACCCGATTTTTTGGAGGATGGTCCAGAGAGTGCTGCGATTCACTGTGTCGAATGTCTTTGCAAGGTCAATGAATGCCATGTACAGAGGTTGACAATGGCGGGATGGAAAGCAGGGCCTCCCCAGAGGATCTTAATCTCTGCGATGGTTCATCAGATGTACACAGATGAAGTTCAACTCTGTCACTCCGTCCCACCTGCTACTAAGGAGGCTGTTCAGGTCCTGAACCAGTGCTTGGTGGCTGTAATGGACTGGATAAAAGCGAACAAATTGAAATTGAATCCAGGCAAAACAGAGGTCCTCCTGGTCAGTCAGAAGGCCAAACAGGGTATAGGGTTACAGCAAAGGTTGGCATAGACATCGAGAACTGGGAAGGCCTGGCCCTTGAGCACTCTAGCTGAAGGTCAGCTGTGACCAGCAGTGCTGTAGAATTTGAAGAGGCACGAATGGAGGGCGAAAGAGAGAAATGTGCCAAGAGGAAGGCACGTCAAGGCAACCCTGACCAGGACTGCCTTCTGGAAACCGATGCCCTCACTGCGGGAGAACATGCAGGTCAAGAATAGGGCTCCACAGTCACCTACGGACCCACCACCAGGACACCAATCTTGGAGGATCATCATCCTTGGACTATGAGGGATCGCCTAAGTAAGTAAGTATAGGTTACAGCCTCTGCTTGATGGGGTTATACTCCCCCTGAAGGCGCAGGTTCACAGCCTGGGAGTGATCCTGGATTTATTGCTGAGCCTGGAACCCCAGGTATTGGCGGTGGCCAGGGGAGCTTTCGCACAATTAAAACTTGTGCGCCAACTGCGCACGTACCTTCGGAAGTCTGACGTGGCCACAGCAGTCCACGCTCTGGTTACATCCCAAATAGATTACTGCAACAAACTCTATTTGAGGTTGTCTCTGAAGACTGCTCGGAAACTTCAGGTAGTCCAACGCTCGGCGGCCAGGGTGCTCACGGGAGCGGGGTTCCCTGTTATGCCAGCTCCACTGGCTATTATTATTATTATTATTATTATTATTATTATTATTATTATACTTTATTTGTACCCCGCTAGCATCTCCCGAAGGACTCGATGCGGCTTACACAGGCCAAGGCCTCAAAACAACAACAGCATAACAACAACAATACAATTCAAAGCAAATCGAAAACATAAAGCAATCTGAAGACTGCTCGGAAACTTCAGGTAGTCCAACGCTCGGCGGCCAGGGTGCTCACGGGAGCGGGGTTCCCTGTTATGCCAGCTCCACTGGCTATTATTATTATTATTATTATTATTATTATTATTATTATTAACTTTATTTGTACCCCGCTAGCATCTCCCGAAGGACTCAATGCGGCTTACAAAGGCCAAGGCCTCAAAACACAACATAACAATACAAAACCTAAAGCAAATTAAAAACAGTTAAAGCAATATTAAACAACAAGCAATAAACAATACATCAAGACATAATAAAATTAAAAACAGTTAAAGCAATATTAAACGACAAGCAATAAACAATACATCAAGACATAATAAAATTAAAAACAGTTAAAGCAATATTAAACGACAAGCAATAAACAATACATCAAGACATAATAAAACTGGGCCAGGCCAGGGTAGTGGGTACAAGATTAAAAGTGCTGATGTGGCAGGAGGTATACAAGGATTATCGGGCAAGTGCAGAGTGCGGAGTGCAGTAATCTTAATTCTACTAAAGTGCTTTTGAGGACTACCTGTTAGGTTCCTGGCACAATTCAAAGTGCTGGTCTTAATCTATAAAACCCTAAACGGTTCCGGCCCAGTTTACCTGTCCAAACGTATCTCCCTTTATGAACCACCAAGGACCTTAAGATCCTCTGGGGAGGCCCTCTTCTCAGTCCCACTGCCATCGCATTCGTGTTTGGTGGGGACAAGAGACAGGACCTTCTCTGTGGTGGCCCCTCGGCTGTGGATCTCCCTCCCTAATGGGATTAGATCTGCCCCATCCCTCCTGACTTTCCTGAAGAAACTCAAATCCTGGCTGTGGGATCAAACGTTTGCAGAATAGACTGATTTACTGGTGAAGATAAGGTTTTAGTGGACTGTAATGCACTGATTTGGATGAGGATTTGAACCGGCAAAATGTTCTAATGTATATTTATAACTGGGTTGTTGTAGGTTTTTCGGGCTATATGGCCGTGTTCTATCCTCAGAGATTGTGAGGTCTGAGGATGCTTGCCATAGATGCAGCCGAAACGTCAGGAGAGAATGCTTCTATCCCGAAACATGGCCATATATCCCGAAAAACCTACAACAACCCAGTGATTCCAGCCATGAAAGCCTTTGACAATATATAACTGTTTTTAATGTATGCTAATTGTATTTTATGTTATGTTGTTATATTGTGTTGGTATAGAATAGTTGCCTGTTGCCTGTTGGAAGCCGTCCTGAGTCCCTCTTCGGAGGTTGAGAAGGACAGAGTATAAATGTTCTAAATAAATAAATGCGGCAGAGTTGACTCATAACATTTTGGAAATGAAGCTATACACGTTGCCATCTAAAAGAGCCCTGGTCAACTCATAAGGCTATTAAATCGAGAGGTTAAAATAATCTAATTGCACCCTTGTCAAAACAGAATACTCAATGAACTGTAAGAAATTCGTCATCTCTTAGGTCAAGAATGCACCAAGCAGTGGGAGAGAAGGTTGGGTGCATCAAAGGGACAATGCTGTCATAATCTCTCCTGCCTGACTCCATTCAGTGTGTTCCAAAAGAAGCACTTCATGCAATAAATGGCACTGGGAATCAATCCCAGTGTGGAAATCACACCACATGGGGAGGATATAAAGATTTCTACCTTGATTTACTTCTTATATTACATTGGAT